GTTCAGGGTTCAGGGTTTAATAAGGGGTTTTAGCGTTTGGGTTTTCGGTTTAGAGTTTAGGGGCACACCCTCAGCCTCCTGAGAGGCCACCGCCTCGTCTTTGCGCGGCCCGGCAGCATGGCGGCCGCGGGGGCGGCCGTGGCAGTGCTTGCTAGGCAGGGTTGAGGGTTTAGGGTTTAGGGTTTAGGGTTTAGGGTTTTGGGTTTACGGTTTAGGATTTAGGGTTTAGGGCTGAAGGTTTAGGGTTTTAGGGTTTGGGGTGATTAACATGGGCCCTTAAAATGGCCCCTTACCTCCTTTAAAGGGTTCTGAAGTAATGGGCCCTTGATTGAGTATGGGGTTTCACAGGGGGTTTTGAAGGGGTTCCCGTTTTAAGGACCCATATTAAGGGACCATGTAGCTACCCTAAGATGTTACTTCGAGGTTCATGGGTATTTCTCATTAGGGTGATAAGAGCTATAGTCACCCGATTTATAACCCCATTCATAAGTGCCCATGAGCCTCCAAGTAGGGGCTTCGAGCGGACGGTGTAGTTAAAGGGGAGTTTTTTGAAGGGCATCTCCTTTACAGTTTCATACGGCCCGAGGGTTTGGGGCAAGTTTGGCGGGTTTGGGGTTTAGACTGTATGCAGGCTGTGCGGCTTCATTTCAGAGCCTACAGTAAACTCCATACAGTTGGAGCATGGTTTAAGGATGATTAGAGCTGAGATTCCCTTTGGTATGCCTTGTGGGGTATGGGGAAAAGGATGTTCCAACTTGTTGGAGTTTACTGCAGGTATTATCGGTTGTGGGTGAAGCTCGAAGAAGACACTGGAGACGGCTGCTGCCGGCGCTGCGTGCGTCGTGGTTGCCGCCACCACCAAAGCAGCCCCACCCCTGAACCCTAAAGAGCAGCCCTAAACCTTCAACCCTCCCAAAAGCCCTTAAGCACCTAAGCCGATAGCTGCTGCAGCGGCGTGGCAGCCCAACCCTAAGCCTCTATACTTGCCATACTCAATCCCAAAACCCTTAACCTACACTCAGATTCCCGCGCTAACCCAAACCTACGCCATACAAACCCGGAACCCTGTAGACCCTGATTTCCAAACCCCTAAAGGCCCCCCAAACCCGTATGGACCCCAGCCCCTAAACCCTTAAGCCCCCTAGTCCTCGCGCCGCCCTCAGAAGTAGGGAAGGTGCTTTCGGGCTGCTTGTATCCGCAGCTTCAGCACTCCTCAAGTGCTGTTTTGTCCTCGTGCCGCCCTCAGACGCAGGGAAGGCCTCAGAGGGTGCAGATGTTGTTCAGCCCCTCATCCTCCAGCAAGCCCTCAATGCGGCTCGTTTGGGAGGAGCTCCACAGGTGCTTGGGTCATGTTAGACGTGGCCCAAGGGCGCAACGGCCCAGATTGCCCTAAGCCCCCTAAACCCTAAAGCCCTACACCCTATGAACCCTATGAACTCTATGAACGGTATGAACCCTATGAACGCTATGAACCCTATGAACTCTATGAACCCTTTGAACCCTATGAACCCTATGAACCCTATGCACCCTATGCCCCCTATGAACCCTATGAACCCTATGAACCCTATGCACCCTATGCACCCTATGCACCCTATGCACCCTAAACCCTAAACCCTAAAACCCTCTATGCGCGCAGAAAGACAGGCGGAGCTCCAGTCTCCGCGCCCGGCGCTCCGAGGGCGGCGACTGCGCCGCAGTCCGCCAATGGGCAGCCGGACAGCAGGGTGTATGTGGAGTTTAGGGTTTGGGCTTTAGGGTTTGGGGTTTGGGGTTTAGGGTTTAGGGTTTGGGGTTTAGTGTTTAGGGTTTGGGGTTTGGGGTTCGGGGTTTGGGGTTTTGCTTGTCTTATGAGGACATGCACCCTAACGGCCGTGAAGTCAGAAGACCCAATTTTCCCTTTAATCCCTCTGCGCCCGAATCCTAGACCCTTTTTACCTCAGAACCTCTTGCCCTAAACCCTAAACCCTAAACCCTAAACCCTGAACCCTAAACCCTAAACCCTAAACCCTAAAAGCCCCAGTCTAGGTCGACTCGATGATCATTGGGCTCCGCCTCTGCCCCTATGCCCAGCCAGCCAGGGACGCTGGCCGAAGCCAGGTAGCAAACAGTTGGGGGGGGGGGGGGGTAAAGGGTTTAGGGTTTCGGGTTTAGGGCGTTTTTTGTGTCTGGTTTCGTATGTGAGGCCTGTTAAATAGGGGGGTAGCCTCACTTTACGGGCCTTCCTGGGCTGGCCAGAGTAGGATAGTTGTGGAGTTGTTCGTGTAAGGCTGGGTGTGAGTCAGGCGAATGGCATAGGAGGACATTTTAGTTAGTCGAAGGTTGAGAATTGGGATGGGCCTTGCAATTGTACAGGACTGACAATGAAGAACACAGATCCCCGCAGATCCCCGAAGCTTCCTGCAGTTTTTTTTTTCGCATCCGTATCCGCCGACCTTGGAAGACTTGAAGCTTAAGGGTTGTTTGCTTCTCGAGTTCAATCTGTGAGGCTTTTGGCTTTCGGGATACCCTGAACCTTAAACCCTAAACCCTAAACCCTAAACCCTAAACCCTAAACCCTAAACCCTAAACCCTAAACCCTAAACCCTAAACCCTAAACCCTAAACCCTAAACCCTAAACCTTGAGGGTTTGGTTATGAAGCCAGCAGGGCCGAGTCGCGGGTTCAGGGTTTTGGGGCGCAGACGGCTCTTGGCTTCGCCCCGTGTTTGAGGTGTGTAATTCCATACAACCAAACCCTCAGGGGTTTAGGGTTTAGGGTTTGGGGTTTCGGGTTTAGGGTTTAGGGTTTAGGGTTGAGGGTTTAGGGTTTAGGGTTTGGGGGACCTCTGAATCCCGAAAGACTTGGACATGCTGTTGTTAATCATAACTCTTTGGGTGCTATCATTTCTAAGAACGGCTGCTAGGGTCCTAGTCTTGTTGTCCATGGTGCCCGGAAACTGCCCCTCATACCTTTGCCTGAACCCCCCATGGTAGACTTGGCATGGCGCATCCCAAGACAGTCATGGCCCAGACCCAGAGGGTTTAGGGTTTAGGGTTTATGGCCCCGACCCAGAAACAAACTCCGAGCTTCAAACAGTCATGGTTATGGATTGGGATATTCCTCCCCTATAATGACAGTCCTTAATGGGGATTAAAGTACCTTCTATGAGAATCCCCATTCAGGGCTGTTAGTAGAAGTTGGAACATCCCAAGTTATGGGACTCATCATGGGAAAGCAACCACGAAGTTGATTTCATGTCACGGGCACTATCACAGCCCAAAGCCCTACCCCCGAAGGGTCCATGTAACTATTTAGTATATACGTGGGCCTAAGCACCAAACCCCAAACCCCAAACCCCAAACCCCAAACCCCAAACCCCAAACCCCAAACCCCAAACCCCAAACCCCAAACCCCAAACCCAAACCCTAAACCCTAAACCTAAACCCTAAACCCTAAACCCTAAACCCTAAACCCTAAACCCTAAACCCTAAACCCTAAACCCTAAACCCTAAACCCTAAACCCTAAACCCTAAACCCTAAACCCTAAACCTTAACCTTAAACCCGAAACCCTAAACCCTACACCCTAAACCCTTCCTCTGAGGGTACTCTCATCTACCCAGAAACCTTCCAGCAGCCAGACCAGGACTGCGCGTCGTTGCCAGCGATGGGCGGACAGGCCCACAGGTGCTTGGGGGAGGTTCTGGGTGTTGGGTTGAGGTAGGGTTCAGGGTTTTGGGTTAGGGTTTAGGGTTCAGGGTTAGGGTTCAGGGTTTAGGGTTTAGAGTTTAGGGTTTCGGGTCTTCGGTGATTTTTACAGGCTCTGAATATAGCGCGGACATTGTTCAATCTAAAAAAGCCTTTCGCAGCTTGCTTATGTTTCTGGAGGTCGGCTTCGGTAAGTTGATGTATTGCACGTTCTGTATGGCAGTCCTGGGGACGCCGCTGTACGAAACCGGTTTAGGGTTTGAGTCTCTTAATGTCTCTGACCTCTGGTTATGTTTCAGACTTGCTTGCAACCTAAGCCCTCAAACCCTCAACCCTCAACCTTAAACCGTGAACCCTAGAAGCCTAAACCCTACACACCCTGCAAACACTAGCGCCCCAACAACCTCGCACCCTAGCATCCCAACACCCCTAACACCCTAGCACCCCTAACACCCTCAAACCCTACACCCCAACACCCTAAACCCACACCCTACACCCTCAACCCTCAACCCTCAACCCTCAACCCTCAACCCTCAACCCTCAACCCTCAACCCTCAACCCTAAACCCCAAACCCTACCAGGTGCTTGACGACATCGTGGCCGAGGCGCGCTTTGAGCTGAGGCTTTCGTCTCGTCCCTGAGAGGTCGGGGGTCCGGCTCCTTGTATCACTTTGAGTAGAGTTTAGGGTTCAGGGTTTAGGGTTTAGGGTTTGGGGCTTGGGGCTTGGGGCTTGAGGTTTAGGGGTCTAGGGATGGAGAGTTTAGGGCTGAGGGCCTTAGGGTTTTAGGTACTTCGATGTCTGGATCAGGTGTCCGGAGTGCCCTTAAAGGACAGAGATTCCCGAATCCATCTGACTCCCAACCCTCAAATCCTTAGCGCCAAAGCCCCACAAGCCCTTATGAAACCCTAAACCCTAAACCCTAACCCCATACCCTATACCCTAAACCCTCAACCCTCACATAGTTGAGAGGTCTAAACCCGCTCGCTGGTTCGAAGCCCTGCTCGTCGGCAGAGTTTTATGGGGGGGGGGGGGGCAGGGGGTCGGAGTAGGACAAGCTCAAGCAAAAAAGACAGGTGGGCGGAAGAGGGGGTGGGGGTTGGGGGTGGCGTGGGGAGGGGGTGGGTGGGGGGGGGCCGAAAACGCTGATTTTGCTGAGGGCGCCCCTACCCCGCCTGTTTACGTGCGGCTGGCGCGGTCCTCCACGAAAAAATTGTGCACCGACCCCCCTACCCCCCCCCCGGTTTTGGGGGGTTTTTCACCCTCAAACCCATCCAACACGCCGCCAGGGTCGGCGGACCCTAAACCCTTGTGAATTCAATCAAGAATTCCCACTGGTAGATCAAGGGCTTCCCCGAAGCCTGATGGAACTGAAAGTTCCGTTAGATTGCCCTGCAATCTGAAGATGAAAGATAACTGCTGCCCTGCAACAGTGATGAATATCGCCAGAATAAAGGAGATCAAGTACCCTGTACTCTGCAAGGATTGCCCCCTTTTGCCGCCAGCTCTCAAAGTCCCATGTGCCGCCCAGCGGTAAGCTAAGCCCTGACCCTCCCGCACCTTGTGGACCTTCGTGGCCACAGAGCGTGCATGTCCAATGTATCCTGAGAAGTCAGCGTTTTCACACTGACCATTGTTTTTGGACAAGCACGATCTGCTGATGTACATCTCAAGGGAGTCTGCAGAGACTCGTGATATATCAGATCTGTGCGAGCTGATGTGGATTCTGGGAGATCCACTGAACTGCCTGTTGTCTTTGCGCCGCCTTATCTAGTGTGTTATCGCTGTCATACAATTTAAATCTGCTTTGGGACAATACAGCACGCAACAGTGAGGCATCCATGGCTTTTGTCAAGCTGTCGGCTGCTTGCAGTGTGGTGGGTATCCATCTGAAACAAGTGTTCTCCTCACAACGTTGTTTGATTAGGAGAACCTCTAATGTGGTCCTGTATTCTTCGCATGATGGCATGGCCAACCTGGTGACCAAGTCATACAGAGACTTACAGTCGGTGACCACCACTGCAGTTGGCAGCTTTTTGAAGCCTTCTGTTGGCTTCTGCCATGAAAAATCAGGCACGTGAATGACACCCCACATGGCTCGGAGCCACCCAAGAAGATCCACCGCTTTGGACATTGCATATGCTTCAGCTGAAAGAGTGGACCTAACAACCCTAGGGATTTTCTTAGAAACCCAAGACAGGGGTGACAAAGGCGCTTCAAGATTCCGATTCAAACGCGAATCTGTTGCACAGACCAAGGCTCCTTGATGCGAATTGAGGTTTTTAGAGGAAGCGAAAGAAGCATCGCCAAAGGAGACAAATGTGAGCTCACTCGGTGTGATGGGTAAGAAGTAAATGCATACCGCATGATGCTCCTGGGCTTCCCGCAAGACCTTATTGGCCAACAGGAGAGTCTGCACGGTAGCTTGCGTGATCTGGCTCTGGACTTCACCTAGTTTCGCGGCGATATCAGGTCGAGTATGCGTGACCGCATACTGAAGACTGCCCACAAGACCACGTAGCTTGGATCGCTCAGACTCATTGATCTGAGCTTCTGGAGTCATACGCCGAGGACGACCAATGTCGATCTGAGGAATGTTGCGCACATAACTACTTTGGGACGCTCTTATGGAAAAGTCGGGAAGCTGTTGAAGGTGAATCCCCGTAAAGACAAAGTCACGATACTTTCTACTTCCAAAAGGGAGTTTCTTTTCCAGCTCCTGTAGTTTTGCATTGAACTTCGTGTCTCCCCCTCCAACACCGTCGTCCACCTGCATCCCCAGGATCCCGTTTAACTGATGGCCGGTGTAAAGCATAAAGACACATGGTTCCAAGGGGTGACGAGTGAATCCTAGCGCCAACAACTGTTTACAAAGCTCTTTGTAAAACAGTAGGGGAGCGTCGACCCTCCCGTAGGCATTGCCTAACAACTGACAAATTTCAGATTCCTTAAGCTTAAGGGCTTGTCTGAGTTCAGGCGGGGGTTCCATGCCCACTGAGTTATCCGCGCTCGCTTTTCCGCGCAAAAACGCAGTTTTTATATCGAACGAAGTCAGGGTGAATTTTGCAGATGCGACGGATTGTAAGACCACAGCACGCCCTTCGCGGGAAAGCGTGGGCGCGTCCCGCATGACCTCAACCAGCTTTGGATCTTGGTAGCCTAACACCACTAACCTAGCTTTTGCTCACGTTGGCTCTCACCTGGTTCTGGCGGCTTCCATGTGAGCACCCACCTACTTTTGAGGATCTGGTCGGGGTTGAGGCTACGCCTTAGAACAGCTTTGATGGCAGAAGTCTGTAACCAACACTGAATCTCTTTATCTTTGGCCTGAGCAAAAAGCTGGCGTTCCTGGGCATTGAGGTCTTTGAGGTATACTTCGGACCGGGATCGTTTGCTGATGGAAGCTAAGAGAGTCATCTGCTCTCGGGCATCTTCACGGAGACATTTGCGATAGTTTTTGGCATTCATTGGTATTTCCAAGCAGTAAGCTTGTTGCTCTCCACATTCAAGGGGTTGTGTGATGTAGGGAAACCCGTCTTCAGCAAGGGGTGGACCCTGCGCTTCCTCAGACGTCTCCACGTGCGTAAAAGCAACAAGTTCATTACCGTCTGCCTCTGAAATTCCAATATTTTCACAAGCTAGAAAAATGTTTTCGCTAACCAGTCCATCATCCGACTCAGGAACAGGAACACTCATTGGATCAACAGCTTCACTGCTTGGCAGGGCAGAAGGCACGGAAGGGGCTGCGGCTTCCTGAGCTGTCTCAGGTTCGCGCTCAACTTCAACACCACCTTCTGCGCCGTCAGGAGTCTGTGACACTTGAGGGGTAAGTTCTTGTTCGGGCTGTCCTAAGTCTTCGTCTGGCACGGCTTGTTGCGACGTAGCATTTGCAGGCCCAGCCTCAAACACTTGTGTGGGTTCGGGATTATTTGCAGAAGATGCTGAAGGTGCAGGCACGGCAGAATCCATGAGATCGCGGAACGCATTGGCTCCACCTGCGTTCTTGGTCGGGAGTTCTTCTTCACCGGATGACAAATGTTGCCACTCTCTCAGACTGGCTGGACGAACACTCTCGGGCGGACAACGAAGAACAGTCGTTCCATGAGAGATCCAAACTACAGAAGAACCTTCTTGGCAAATTACGCGTCCGGGGCCATGCCACCGACCTGAAGCAAGACGATTTGGGGATGTTTTGCGTATCCAATACAACACCCAATCCCCGGGCCGATATGGACCTCTCATGGGATGCGATCGGCGAAGCATTGCCCTTCGTATCGTTTGGGAGTTGTCAGCCTCCCAGAACGCTTTGCGCGCCATGCATCGCAACTCCAGCCTTTGACGATGCATCTCTGCTTCCAAGTCGGATCCTTCTACTATAGCATGGGCAGACAGGTCTTCGTCGGACGTAACGCTCCCAGGGATTCGCAGAGACTTACCAAGTACGATTTGTTCAGGCGCATAACCTTTAAACCTCATTAGGGCATTTTTGGCCTGAAGGGCTTGTGCAAGGGCTTGGTCGAAGAGAACATCGTTGATCAAGGGCATCTGAGTATCAAGTCTTTGCAGAATGTCCTTCAACACATCGCCGTGGCGCTCAAGGCGTCCGCGCTGCCAGGCGGCTGCAGTCACAAAAGTTTGAATGCTCAAGCTTTGGAAATGGTCCAAAATTTCAGATGACCTAAATTCTCCTGCGGGATCTAAGTAAATTTTTCGAGGGTTACCGGCCCAGGTGAACCAAAAATTGGTCAAGGATTCCAAAGCATGCGCGGTTTGTCGGGACTGAGTTCGACGTCCCATGTGACATACGACTTATACCCGGACTTACTCCATCAACCCCAATGACATCGTTGAACTCACGAGGCTCAGAGAGCTTGCTTGGACGTTGGAGTCGAGGCTCCACAGATTCCAGGCAGGAATCACACTGGTACTCGAGCGCTGCTTGAACAAGCGATGGATCAGCGCCGGCGGCCCGCAAGTGATTGGAAAGTGTCTGAGGGGCAGGGTGCCCTAAGTTTGCGTGCACCCGGATGAGAGTGCTCTTCTCCTCTTTGCTGAGATTCCTAAATGCCATGGGCGGAGGCGCCCACGCCTCTATGTCATGTTTGTCGGAGGGGAAAGACGTCTGTTCAGGACTTATCTTTTCAGGGATAGTCTGGCGGGCTAATTCAGGAACACTCTTTTGTTGTCCAAACACTGTCAGGAGTATGTGAACGGGGTTGATGCGAAGTCTCGTTCTTTCTGAGGGCATGTTCAAGCGATCATCCTGTCCCAGGCACCAATATTGCTCTTGACTGGCATCTCTCACCCTAGACCCTGCACTAAACCGGATTGGGGCGACAGTCTGGGGTAATGCTCCTAGAGGACTCTGAAGATTTCGGGCTCCCTTGCTTACAAAGACCTGCAATACTTGGATCTCTGGCAATCTCTGTTGAATGAGTCCTATGAGTTCACTTCGTGGAGACACCAGGCTCGTCGTGTTACGTGTGATGCTCTGGGCAGCGGAACTGAACACGGGGCGCCAAACTTCAAACGGCAGCTCTACGTGTAGTGGCAACGGGGCAGGCTCGACCCGCCGTGAGGGCTGTCCTCGCTCATGAGCAAGGGAGCTGGGGTCGGCGGCACGCTTCTGAGCTGGCAAGTGATGCTGCGTACTTGGGGTACCTACTGAAGTCTTAAACCGCTTACGGGTCATGGGAGGGGCTTCATTAGACGCAAACGCTGTCTCGGAAGGTTTCACCAGCATCTGTTTGGCGACATGTTTCGCAAACCCCTGACAATAGGACCCTGCAAACTGGGATACTGAAGCACCTCCCAGTTCCCTGAGTTTTCCTGCTACCACTTGATGTTCTGCATGACCAGGACACTGCTTAACGACGAGACTTCTTATCAAATTGGCACACGTGCTAAGGATGGCAGTCGACTTCTTGATGGGACGTTTGGAAACAGGTGTTTCCAAACCAAAGGCACACATATGTACGATGACTTTGCGGGTTCCTTCTACTATGGGTCGAAGGTTTTCTTGAGACAACATGCTGGATCCTGAGGGTTGTTTAAGGTGAAAGCCTCTTCCATGCTTACACTGCCACTGGTAGACTTTAGTACACAGCCGGAGGTGAGTTTGGTCTACATCCCTTTGATGCTGCAGCTCGTCTCGAAACTTGGCGCTCCTGGCAAAGTGAAGGTTGGTCCATGAGCACCAGAGACGGCACTCAGGAGCCATCCAGATGTGCCTGGGCTGTTCCTGTTGAATGATGTCCCATAACCGTCGTTGACCCTCTGGAGACGAAAGGTCCCCATCGGTTCTTGTGAAGCGTCTTGCTTTACCTCCTAGCCTATTGACCCATGACGTAAGTTGGCTGTTGTCATAGGCATACACTTCTAAGAGATCTAACTGCTTTCCTTTCGGAACCCCGTAACTGAGTTGGGAATCTTGGTAGACAGCCCAGGCAGCGTCCTCGGCACGTGCGTACGCATTGGCACAGGCCACGGCAGCATCTTGGGCAATGCTGGTGACATCGGAAGACGTCAGTGAGGAAGCAGTTGTCAGCTCGCATCGGAGAGGAGATGGCAGTTCAGAATTGGGACGCTCATCTACACAGTTGGCGGGCGCATCGGCTGACTCCGGAAAACCATGTTGTCGAAGCCACTCTGCATCACTCACAGATGCTCTTTCCGCTGTCTTCAATGAAAAGCCTATAAGAATTACCCTATTCCCTTCCCATGGCATGGTGCAGTGCCAGGAACGTGGGTTGAGATACATCGGGCACTTAAGGGGATTCAGGGCTCCTACCAGTGGCTGACGATTGCATTCGACAACGTGCTCCCTCTGGTGAGGATGCGCCTTGTCTGCAGACCACACTTCTCCGCCGTTGGACGGGTAGTTCAGAGGAACCACTAAGTTGGAGGTCCCCGAAAGATTATGGACATCGCGATGCGGTGGGGCAGAGGTGTTGCACGATATGGCCACGGTGGTGAAGGGATGCTGAGGGTCCGTCAACCGAAGAACACGAGTAAGAGCTTGCGTTACCCAGGGGAACTCTTTTGACACCCGAGTAATTCCCTGAACACCCCCATGCCGAAAAGAGCCAAACGTAAGATAGGCGGGTTCCTTCAAGGTATCTGTCGGAGAGGACGCGGTCAAGCTTGCAGGCGATGCATCCAGCAGGTGCCAGGGCACAGAACGCAGGAATCTCTTCAGCTCATTTGCTGTGGCTTGCCGTTGGACAAGGCTTCGGGCATGGTCTTCCACCTCTTGCTTATCCCAGTGCCTAGAGCTTGAAGTGCTCATACGTGATGACTTTAGGGCTTCCTGAAGCTCCGATTGACACACTTGTACCTCCCTCAGGATTGCTGCTGGGTCACATGCAGCTGCTGAATTGCCCCGAGGACCTGCTCCATGATCTGTTCCATGTGATTCATCCGGCCAGCGAGGGCGTTCACCTGATCCTCCACGACTGAACCGTCTGGCTCGATCGCTGAGATCACGTCCCACGGGTCTTCCGCGGAAGCTTGCGATGGCTTCGCGGCCACCTTGGGCTTGCTCTTGGGCGCTGCCTTGGCGGAGCTGCCCCGGGTCCTGGGATCGTGTGGATCTGTGTCCGAAGGTGAGCTTTGCAGCACGGCCTCGATTGCCTCTGCCTGTTCGACATACTTGCGAATGTAGATCAGCAGAGCACGATGCTTCACTTTGGCACTGTCCTGAAGATGATCGCAGCACCACTTGCCCCATTCGGGACTGCTCTCCAGGGCCTCTGCGAAGGTCTTTCCGACCATCTTCTTTCCAAAATCCACTTGGAACTGCCCTAGAGTCTGCATGTCCAGGGATTCCAATTGTTCGACTGTGTAGGTCGAGGTGGGATCCTGGAGTCGCGCCAAGCGCGTGCCAAGGTCCAGGGACGAGGAACCGACGGAGTTGGGGCTCTGGGCCATGACTCTTGGGATCAATGGACGATGGAGTGAGGGAATCGGCGACACACACGGGCTGGCTTGATGGCAATTTGGTGACAAAAGGCGGCGATTCGTCAGTGCGTTCAGCTGGCTTAGCTGATACAGAGTTGAAACAACCCTGTTCTGTGTCATTATCTTTACTTACATACGAATTACACCCAGAAGGACTAAGGAACCCGTCAGCATCTATACACTTACCAACAGAGGATCCATCTTCCTGGGACTTGGGAGCATGCGCAGGGGAGTCTTGCGGGAGGGCAACCTGGACAGAGTCTTTCGGGACAGACTCTTCACTCACATGCTGGCATGAAGCGTCCTGGTGGCTTTCTTCACACAACTTGGCCAGGTCTAGCGTGTAAAGTCCGGTTGGACCCGTGCTCAAGCGCAGGCTCTTCCCCAGTCTCTGCAAATGGCAAAGATCTTGCACCGTGTCCACTATTCCCCCCAACTGCTTAATAGCCCGTTTACTAAACAGCAAGGGAGTCCTGCCCGGCACAATCTCGATGCTGAGCCACAAAACGTGAGACATGCCTGCTTTTATGGGGAGCAATACTCGGAGCTCGCTTTCAAGTGTCTGGTTATTCCCAAATCTGAACTTCACCGCACTTTTGGCTACCTTAACCAAACCCCGAACAGGCTTGCTCAGCTGACTCAAGAACGTGTTCAAAAGCTGTTTGCCCATGACACACCGGCTGGCCCCTGTATCGACAATGGCTTCGAGGACAGTGTCTTGGACTAATGCACTTTCACACGATCTGTCAGGGATCTTGGGCTTGCTCCATGGGCTATGCCTAAGGTGCGCTGGGCAGGGACATGGAATGCTCAGCTTGGCGACGGAAGCAGGGGACTCAGTCAAGGATGTTTCCCCAACGCTGCGTGGCCTGTGAGGTCGGGAGAAAAGGGCAACACGTCTTCTAAGGTTTAGGGGAATCAGGGCAATGCGGCTCCTAATCTTATCCCTAACATCCTGAACCCTTGTCAAACCCTCTGCGAAGTGAGCCTCTTCCAAGGAAAGCGCTTCCTCGGGCACGCTTGACATGACCTCTGGGTCATTTGGCATGATGGTCTCGGTGGCGAACGTCTCCTCAACATTCAACGTCTCCCCAGCATTCTTGGTAGCGGCATTGATTTTGCGAGGACACTCAGCCTTCCAATGCCCACGCTGCCCGCAATTGCGGCAGTGGCTTTTCGCAATCCTCTGAAGAAGTGCTTCCTTGGATCCTTTTCCTTTGTGCTTGCCGGCGCCCTTGCTCGGCTTGCCACCACTCTTGGAGCCTTTGGCGATGGGCCAAAAGCCGCGAGATCGTTTTTTGGCTAGAAGTCTGCCTCGCGCTTCAAGGTAACTCACAAGTGCATCTTGCAAGGCTGGCACATCTTGGAAGAAGGTTTCAAGTTCCTCCTCGAATGCTTGGATCTGGGTGGCATCGGGATCGTCCGCGGCGATGAGCGCGTCAAGGTACTCCTGGTCGAGCTCTGTCTCGGCTTCCTCCACGTGTCCTGTCACACTGGCCTGAAAGGCTCGCTCGGTGTCCTCAGGAGTTGGCTCTTCCACGTAGTTGGCGTCGTACACTTTCGTTCTGGCTGTCCTGTGGCCTTGAAGGTCAGCAAAGAACCTCGATCCCAGCAAACGAATGGCACTGCATACCTTCTCGTAGCTCAAGGTACCTCCCATCTCTACCACAATCTTCTTCCGGTCCTCGGATGACAACTGTGACTGTCGCAACAAGATGTACGCTCGAACCTCCTCGAGTTTGATGCCTTGGGATAGAAGCTCCTCGAAGTGAACATCATGCCGGGCCAAATAACTGTCGTTGGACTCATCGCTCTTCTGCAAGGTGCCGTAAATCGCCTTCTCAAAGCAATCATACTTGGTCTCCAGCGCTGTCTTGCCCCAGGACCCTCCCAGGGTAGACACCAAAAGTCGGATTCCAGAGTCGTCGGTAGACTTCAGTTTTGCCGCATCAAGCTTCGAGACTTTCTTGAACGCAGTTCCCTCTGTCAAGAGGGCTGCACGCGGGGCCAGAAGAGCCATGTGCTCTCGAGGCCACATAGCCGCAAGAAACTCCAGTTTGCCACTGTACTCTGTAACATCTGTGGTTCCTGGTGTGAAGCGTGGAATGGCATGCCATGGCAGCTGTAGGGAGCCTGTGTTCTCCGAGGGAGAGTGTCCCGACGATTGCGAAGCCTCTGTTGCCATATCTGCTATGCCAGCCAAACTGGGAACTTCAAGTCGAAAGGACCACCTGGATCGAATCCACTTTTGCGCCTATCCACGGATAGCGAAGCACCAGTAGCTCCGCTACCAGTGTGAATTCAATCAAGAATTCCCACTGGTAGATCAAGGGCTTCCCCGAAGCCTGATGGAACTGAAAGTTCCGTTAGATTGCCCTGCAATCTGAAGATGAAAGATAACTGCTGCCCTGCAACAGTGATGAATATCGCCAGAATAAAGGAGATCAAGTACCCTGTACTCTGCAAGGATTGCCCCCTTTTGCCGCCAGCTCTCAAAGTCCCATGTACCGCCCAGCGGTAAGCTAAGCCCTGACCCTCCCGCACCTTGGACCTTCGTGGCCACAGAGCGTGCATGTCCAATGTATCCTGAGAAGTCAGCGTTTTCACAACCCTAAACCCTAAACCCTAAACCCCAAACCCCAAACCCTAAACCCTTTCCCCTAAACCCTAAACCCTAAACCCTAAACCCTAAACCAAAGTGCTGAGATGATGTTCCAGGCCGAGCTTCTCGCCGCCTCAGAGAAGGAGGTGGACGCCAAGACCACGCTGCTGGCGTGTGCCGGGGCGCCGAACAGCAGGGTTTAGGGTTTAGGGTTTAGGTTTAGGGTTTAGGGTTTAGGGTTTAGGGTTTAGGGTTTAGGGTTTAGGGTTTAGGGCTTTGGGGTTTAGGGGTTAAAGGGTTTAAGGGTTTAGGGTTTAGGGTTTAGGGTTAGGGGGTCAGGTGTTAGGGGTTAGGGGTTAGGGGTTTGGGCCTAGGGTTTAGGAATCCGGGAATCCCCCTTTCAGGGTTCAATGCTCAGGGCTATACCCTAAGCCTGAAAGCCTTAGCTCCAAACCCCAGGGTTTGGGGTTTGGGGTTTAGGGTTTAGTGTTTAGGGTTCAGGGTTTGAACCTGATTCCCAAAAGCCCAGGAAGCCCTAAACCCGAGTGTGTCATCGGCAGACAACATAGAGGATTCAGATTCTGCGGAAACTCCTTCAACCATCTGAAGACGGTGGGTGAGACTTGAACAACGTCTGGCTGGCGTGAGCACCCTTCACGTATAGTCGCTTCCACGATGGCACCATGGCAGGCTCTCGCAGAAGGGGCAGGCTGTCGGGCATGAGCGTTGGTGTGTGGCAAGTTGTCCCGTGGCAGTGGCAGGAGGAAGAGACCAGGAGCAATACTAGCTCGGACTTCAGCGCTTTTGGGAGTTAGGGTCTGGGTGCCTGTGAAGTTAGGGTATTTAGTGCTTTAGGAGTTAGGTTCTGGGGGGTTGGGGTGTTCGCATTTTGGGAATTTCGGGTACAGGCTTTGGGGTTTAGCCTTTGCGGGGGCAGGCTTTAAACTCTAAACTCTGAACGTCTTAAGCCATAAACCCTAAACCGCAAACCCTGAGCCGAAACCCCCCCACACCCTGAAACCCAGACACGAGACCCCAGACCCCAAACCCCCAAGCAACACACTCCCAGGTCCCGATGTGCCTGAGTGGCAGGACAAGTGTTTGTCGAGTTTAGGGTTGAGAGTTTAGGGCTTAAGGTTGGGATGTGCGCCAGCCCTAAACCCCTAAAGATCCTAAAGCCCTCCAAAGAAGCCCCAGTAAGCCCTAAGCCTTGGGAACAATCCCTATTGAGGACTGCTAGTATAAGGGGGAACATCTCAACCTATGCCCCTCTTGAGGCCGTCAACCCTAAACCCTAAACCCTAAACCCTAAACCCTAAACCCTAAACCCTAAACCCTAAACCCTAAACCCTAAACCCTAAACCCTAAACCCTCAACTCTAAACCCTAAACCCTAAACCCTAAACCCTAAACCCTAAACCCTAAACCCTAAACCCTAAACCCTAAACCCCTAAACCCCTAAACCCCTAAACCCCCAAACCCTAAACCCCCAATGCCTTCGACCTCCAAGTGCTGCGGCTGAAGGACTTTGCTGCCTTCCACGAGTTCTACGTGTCGGAGCTCGCGAGCGGGCGGGTGGCTCCGCAAGAGTTTAGTTTTGTTTTTGTTTTTCCTTTTGTAGGGTTTAGGGTTGAGGGTTTAGGGGTTAGGGGTTAGGGGTTTTAGGATATATGGTTCGTAGGGTTTTGGGTTTAGGGAGTAGGGTTCTTGGGGGTTTAGGGTTTAGGGTTTAGGGATTTTAGGGTTTGGGGTTTCTAGGGTTTGGGGTTTGCAGTTTAGGGCGTTTGAGGATCAGAGCTTGGAGGATGGGGGGGCACTTACCGGCTGAAACTTTCACACTTGCAGAGGGCGCATCCCCCTAACATCCTAAAACCCCTAACGCGTCGAACCCTTGGAGCCCTAAACCCGAAATAGCCCAACCCGAAATAAGCCCCACGAACTTAGATCCAAAATACCCCTTAACCTTAACCCTAAATGCCTGCAACCCTCAACCATCTTCAACCCTAAACCCTGAATCCTAAACCCTTGCCCTAAACCCCAAACTCCAAACCCTAAACCCCAAACCCTGAACCCAAACCCTCATTGCCTCAATCCCCAGACCCCAAACCTCCTAAACCCTAAACCCCAAACCCTAAATAAACACCAAACCCCAAAACCCTAAAATCCCTGAACCCCAAAAACCCCAAACCATAAACCCCAAACCCTGAACCCCAAACCCCAAACCCTAAAGCCCCAAACCCCTGTTCCCTAAACCCCAGACCCCCAACCCCCCCCCCCCCTCCCCCGGTTTCCTCACAAAGCAGCCCCCCCGAGGTCCTCTCCAGGAGCCTGGGCCTCGACGTCTTCCTCGTGGCCTTCCATCCCAACTGCCTCTCGGATGGGATTTTAGGGTTTAGGGTTTAGGGTTTAGTGTCTAGAGGGTCACTGTTCTAGCATTCAGAATCATTAGGGGGTTCCAGGCTTAGAAGAAAACCCACCCGCCCAAAGAATCCCGTAACAATAAGAAAATGAAAGGTTGTCATCCTACCAAGAGAGTTTTACCTACCTAATCCGGACACGTTTTCCACTGAACCTTCTGGGGCCCAATGGGGTCAGATTGACCGAAAAGTCACCAACACTGGTCCAGATTGACCGAAAAGTCACGTACACTGGTCCACATTGACCGAAAAGTCACGAACAATGGGGGGCAATTGACCGAAAAGTCACGAACAATGGGAGGCAGATTGACCGAAAAGTCCCGAAGGTTTATTTATTTATTTTATTTATTTAATTAATTATTTATTTATATATATATACATATATAATAGAGAGGGTTTAGGGTTTAGGGGGATTCGGTGGCCTTCTATCCTGGCTGCCTCTCGGATCCTGGTTTCTTGTATTCCCCAACACCCTAAATCCGGTCACAGGCTGTTAGACTCCCTTCGGGAACGCTGACCTTGAAAAGGCTTCTTACCAGCTGAGATTCACCATCATACTGCCAAGAGCACAGAAGCGTGCCTTCTCAACACTACGCCGTAAGCCAAAAAACGCCAAAGGAGCGCGCAACCCGTCTTCCCCTACAACCCTAAACCTTAAACCCTAAACCCTACACCCTAAACCCAAAACCCTAAACCCTAAACCCTAAATCCCTTCCTTCCCCCAGGTGTAGCTGCTGGAGAAGCTCTAGCCCCAGGCGACGAGGCCGGAGTAGCCTTAGACGTGGAGGTTCTGGAGTTTGAGGGGTTGAGGGTTTCGGTTTTAGGGTTTGGGGTTTGAGGTTTTGGCAGGATTCAGCCAGAATTGAATTTAGGGTTCAGGGTCTAGGGTCTAGGGCTTTGGTTTCTTCTTTCGGTTTAGGGTTTGATCTGGAACCTTTCAGAAGCGTAGTTGCCCAGAAGACATCATTTCAGCAAAGACCCCGAAGCTTCGGTTTCCAGAGCTCGGGGTTTTGGGCGGCACTTGCTGGACTCGCACGCCGACGGTCGAAGCCTGGTTTCTTGAAGCTTAAGAATGATAGGAACCTTACACCCGGCACCTGAATCCTATGCAAGCCAAGTTCCGGAACCTTAAACCTTAAACTGTTCCTACATATACCCTCGAACCCAATCCCGTAATTAACTCAGATGCAGTCAGGTGGCTGTCCAGCGCGGCGACGACCTGGTTCTGGCGGTGGTGCAGGCTGCGTGACATTAGAGCTTTTGGGCATGGGAATGGGGCTTGAGGGCTTTTGGGAGTCTAGATGAAGCGCTTAGGGATTTCGGGTTCGTTTTGGACATAAACTGCCAGGTGCATCCTACCAGGTGGTGGGGCTTCAGGGTGTGGCGGTTTTGGGGCCGGGGGTTGGTATGGTATGGTATGGTATGGTATGGTATGGTATCCAAGGCGAGCATGCCGAAAGGCATGGGGGACGAGCAAGAGGTATTACTCTCCCGCCAGGCTGATGCACGTTAAGGGTTTAGGGCTTAGGGGAATGTTTCTTATGTGTCGACGCGCATCGATCAGAGTGAGAGAGCAGGAGAAAGGGAGCTTGGGGGAGGGAGAGCCCTCAACCCTAAGCCCCCTAAAGCCCTCGGGGGACTGAAGTACTTCTTCTCACCCTCTAAGGCATCACACGTAAGCACAGGGATTTAGCCTCTGGCTCTTCGGTTCATCATCTCACATATGACAGATCATTCCGACCCTAAGCACAAACCCCTAAGCTAGCCCTAGGCCGCTCAGCCCTGCACCTTGAGATGTTCCCCCCCCCCCCCCTATACTAGCAGTCCTTAATAGGGATTTTAGTATCCCCCCTTGCAACCCCCCAAATAAAGGACTGTTAGTATAAGGGCGAACATCCCAACCTGAACCTCTAAATCTTAAACAACAACACGGCCCTCAACCGTAACAGAGTCGTGGGAGACCGCATTCCAGCCCCCACTGAGAGGCGTAGGGCAACCCTAAACCCTATGCCCTAAACCCTATGCCCTAAACCCTAAACCCTAAACCTTAAACCTAAACCCTAAACCCAAGCCCTGCTTATGAATAGTTTCTGGAATGACAGGTGAGCAGGTATACCGTATACCCGGTCTGTGAGCCACTGAGTGGCCAAGCACCCTAAGAACCCTA